TAAACTTCGTATTAATTTTTCGGATGAAAAAGGGAGGTTCTTTGCGTAATTCAGAGTTATCAGCAGAAAATACGTCTTGGTCAGGATTTTCTGCGGACCTGTGATGGCTGTGTGATATGCTTTTGGAAGAAGCTTTGGCTGTCTGTTCGATGTCTTGAATACGTTTTTGAAGACTGACGTTTTGCTGTTGCAGAGAGGAGTTAGTAGTAGAGGCCGAGTGATTTTTCTTTTGGTGCTTAGCAATTTTATCTTCAAGTTCCTGGTTCCTCTCTAACAATGTGTCATACTCGTTTTTATACTGGTATAACTCTCTCTCTACTTGTACGTAAGATCTCGCCAGCATCATAATTTTGTCGCTGAGTCCTGAGATATTAATGGCCTGATTTCCGCCTTGTGTGGCAGTGGTAAAAAGCTAGTTGTTGGGGACTGAACAGAGGACAGGATATTTTTGGGCGAATGCGGCGTCCCGATCGCTAAATTCATTATGTGTTGGGGCACTGCCTGGGTGACACCAAGGTTGATACAGAATGGTATTACAACTATCGAGATTCCAAGGGTTGTTATCCATTTTAGTAACGCTTATATCAAAATTGCGATTTCAACTGGAACTGTAGGTAATATTTACCCGCTAAGGCAGTAAAAAAATGTGCTACGGTAGACAATATGTCAAGGGATAGATAAGAGGAAGATTGACGAGGTCAATCTAGTGAATAAGATTGTCTACACAGAAGAAAGGGATCTAGGAAAGGACCACGGATATTGATACAATCGCGTACGCGTGTGAACTCTTCCACGTGACCGCAATATTAATCGCGTTTCCCATCACAGGGGTAACAGCTAGATGGTTCTCAAGAAGGCTTTCGAATATAGACCAATTACAGGAGGCTAGTTGAAGCTTACCTGGAGCAGGAATTTCGAACTCCCAATTTTTCACTTGACAGAAAAGCTTTCTGTGGTCTGAGCCGGCTTCCAGATCTTGTCGAATTTCGCAAAATATAGAGATCAATGGCTGCCCCGGTGTCATGAGTGGGAGATCAATCATGTTTGAGAAGTTGAAGTCCCAGGGAGGCTATCCATGATAGCAGGAAGTCGCCATCCACACTATCGGTTCGAGATTTCGGGTCCCAGGATATGTGGCGGATATTGAAGTCACCCGCGAGGATATCTGGTAGCCTGTGCTAGTAATTAATTATTTTAGACCTTCCTCGGAGTCAGTTGCTCCAACTGGGGTGTTGCAGATGTTCCAGCATGCAAGCGCTCGCTTATTTCTGCGCGGAATAACGACTTGTCATAGGTCTCGAGAGTGCATAGCTGGCTGGAAGAGGGATCATCCTGTTGAGCTATGGTCATTGTAGGTTTACCCGATTTACTCATAACATCACTCGGGTCAGAGAAGTTAATGCTGATACATGATGTGTATCAAGGAAAATATCTTTATGTTCGGATTTTATACAACTCATACTTTGAATTGGGTTTATGTTCATGTTTCCGATGATATACTAATCTTATCTGTCCCAAGCACGTTTTGTTATGTTTCGATGGTAGCATTATTGCTAGAGAGTTATCTAGTAGGGTTTCAAATGAGGAAAACTATTTATTTTAGATACTCGATAGCCAGAGAATAGAGAAGCAGCCCTTCGATGATTTGTTACCTTCTACTCCCATTTCCAAAATAGTCCAACAAATCCTGCTCTTTGTAGACGTAAGTCATCACTCGTGGCCAAATAATCCAGTTGGTAAAGAGAGAGCAACACTGGAACCTTGTGTGAGTTTTTGTTAATCCATGAGAAAGGTCTGTGGAAACCCAAGGCTCTTGGATTGGTACCACATTTGCCCTAAATTTCGAGGCTAGTAATAGGACGGCGTTATGAGCAGAGGCACGTTTACCAACGTTGATCTGGAAGAAGCAGAGGCCCGGGGTTTTCTGCTTTCTTCGGTTCCTGTTTCGGTCCCTCATGGTGACTCCTCAAGGGAAATTAGAGGAGCAAACCTAGATGCCGAGCCCACTGTTAGTGTAGAGGCTGGGATGGAGGCCCACGAGGCTTGCGGAGGTATACTCCTGATGAGAGGGTCACTAGAAGGTGGAGGAGAAGGATGCATGGCAAGCCATGCTTTGTGTACCTCCTGCCGAATTTACCGTATGCTCTTTTTATCTGGCCGAACGACTCCATCAGTTCAAAGAGCTGGGCTGTACAGCCAGGGGAAGAAGTCTCATGTGGGCTGGCAAAATTTAGAGATTTTATAGGTGTCATGCAGGGACCATTAAGAGATTCCGAGGCACAAATGCTATACCGGGCTCGGCGTGTGCAGCTATTTATGTTGTGAAATCTGTGATAGCGGGGGCAGGCTTGGAGGCGGGGGCAATTTTAAGCTGGCCTAAATCTAACGGAGCAATCAAAGAGACAAATGCTAGTCGAGTGTTTCTCTGAAGCTGGCTTTGGGACTATTAGACGGAAGGTTCCTTCCAACTCGGGGGATTCCTGCAATCGGCCCGTCCATGAGACGGAGAAAATTGACCCCGTGTCAATTTTCTCACCTACTAGCTCCTGCCGGATATATGCGTCGGATAGGGCCTCCGGTTATGCGGAGAAGTTGTTTACGTTTTTTGGGACTGGGCCTAGAAGCAAGTTTGCACAATTTTCTTGCTTTTCAATTGGTATAATTCTAGTCATCGGTTGCAGAGCTACAGCTACCTGGAGATGATCCGAAGCTCAGTCAGGAGAGGGAGCAACTAAAGCAGTGCCAGATGGGACCGAACGAATTTCCTTGATTAGCTCTAGATGGTCTAGAAGGCTTCTTAAATTTGTGCGGACAAAGAGAGATTCTTGGTGGCGTAAAGGGTGATCAGGCGCTAGGCGAACCAAGACCCTAAAGTCAGGCTCGAATTTTACAGCCATTATTGAAGTTTTTTGTAGTTTTAAGTGCATAGTCTGGGGTAGATGAGCCTTTCTTCGCCACAGTTGCGTATGACAGGGGTGACTTGATTACTGGAGGGGAGATGAATTATCGTATTTTCATTAGTTTGTGGGACAGTTGTTGTCTGCTAAAAGACTAGCAGGTCGGCAATGACCTGGTTGCCGCTAAGTGCCATGATAGCTTCCAAATCAGCTGCAATAGCTTGTGTAAAAGCGCGAAGGTGTTGCACTCCGGCGTTTTGCCAAGCCAATAGCGATATGGCAATATCGTTGGTCTAGGCTGCCGAGGGTTAGTAGACAACACGCGCTGATATACGTACTAGAGGGATGGTAGATTGGTTATCTACTTTCGCAGTATTTACAAGTTGAATTCTGGCAGAGGTGTATATAAAACTAGGGAGGCCTGCACCAGAATTCCTTTCAAGACTTTTGTGGCTTGTTACTTTGGGACCTTGGTTGCACGCTTGAGCGCCTGCGTCGGGCCGGGGAGATAGTCATAATCTGACCCTGAGTCCATGGACTCATCTTCAGAGTCAATGAGAATTGACTTAACAAGAAAGTAGCGACTCTTAGTGGAAGCTACTAGAATGGCTTCTTCGCGTACAGATGGAAGTAAACTCTTGAGTCTTAAACGTTTGACAGCACGCGTTATAATTCTCGCGGTTAATGCGGTCGCGGCATGTTTTTTCCGACTAACGGAAGGCATTTTGTCTACTTGAGACGTGGTTGTGTTCACAATAGCGGTATGAATGTGTTATCTCTTTTTCAAGAAAGTGAATTATATTGACTTTTTTCTATCGCAAGAATCAGCACTTGGCACGTGATGCTTGCTGGGGCTCATTGGCGCGCACCTGAAGCTCATGTAGGTAGAGGTGAAGTGATTTCCCGGTATTTGTAGAGCGATTGAAGCGTAGTCGAAGGCTAGGCGATTATGCCGCGCATGATGTCTTGAATTTTGCACTGGGATGCCGCACCACTTGTCGGAACTTTATGTCGAAACTATCTGTCAGTGTAGATTGCAACATGTTGATGAGCCCGTTGACAATGAGTTCTGCCTCAGCAAAGCGCTGTTTGGAGACTTTCACATCATTTGCGAGGAATTTAGTCATCGTGACGTCCGGTGCATCGAGTTGAATTTATGGAAAGTCTTGACAACTCGCCTCATAGATCAGCTCTTTTGTTTTTTGTGTATTGATTGGTAGGTGTTGTGGTGGCTCGTTAAGTACCATTTCTACATCTTGACGCGTCGAGGCTTGAGTGGGAAAGAGGGAGCAGGAACCACTCTCTGCGGAGGACTGATACGGCATAGCTGGACTTAGATGAATTTTTGATTCATCGGTGAATCAACCTGTGCACGGAAGAGGTTGTGAGATGAGTGTTGAGTGTAGGGTCGCCGCTGCACAAATGGTGGTTGGTCTATATAACGTTTGTTTGTAAGGTAATTTAGGTCAACTTCATTGTGCCGTCTGGGATACTGCACCCTACTCGTACAATTTATAAAGCTTTCGTTTGAAACGGCGTGATTAGAAGCCTTGAATCATTGCCTGATGGGCCAAGTCACCCTTCAATAACATCCATCTCTCTCCCCTTCACTAAAAAAATATCACTAATATTGGTTCTGGGAGAACGTACCACTTCTAGATTTGCATTGCATATCGCTGAAAAGTGTTCAGTTTTGGTCCACCAGTGAAAACTGAGTAAAAAGAACAATAAATTTATAGGTGGAAGTTATCATTAGTAACGTTCCTACTGACCAATTTTGAAACGAATTAAAAATCTGGATGATAGGATCACAAGGGTGATACTGACAAAGTTTTTTGGCGGTATTATTCCTTTCGAACAATCTTGAATTTGAAAGTGTCTCAATTTTATCGTATCACATGCTTAAGTCAAAACTTTATAATAATTTGAATTATTCCATACCACATGCTCCTAGCGCCGTATTGTTAAGGTGCCGTGCTCTATTAACTTATGATTTCAAGAAGTTGTATATAGTCTGGATACAACCTGAGATTCCCAGCATCAACTTCCAGATCCAATCCTACAATAAATGTTTTACAACTGATTACCTGACGTTACCTGAGTCTAGAAATGAATTGCTTTACCGTACGTAGCCATAGCAGCTTCTTTGAACGCCTCAGCTAACGTGGGATGAGCGTGACTAGTCCGTCCAATGTCTTCACTAGATGCCCCATACTCTAGAGCTAGGGTTCCTTCGGCTATCATTTCTCCAGCATTAGGCCCAACGATGTGAATACCGAGAATTCGGTCAGTTTCGGCATCAGCAATCATCTTGACCATACCATCTGTATCAAGATTCGTCTTGGCCCGAGAGTTGGCAGAGAAGGGGAATGTGCCGATCTTATACTTGACGCCGGAAGCCTTAATCTCTTCTTCGTTCTGTCCAACCCATGCAACTTCTGGATGTGTGTACATAACTGAAGGTATGGCTCCATAGTTCACATGACCATGTCCCTTTGTTATGTACTCAACAACAGCTACCGCTTCTTCCTCAGCTTTGTGCGCAAGCATAGGACCAAAGGTACAGTCGCCAACAACACGGATGTGTGGAATCTTCGTTCGGTACTCAGAATCAATGATGATTCGTCCCTTATCATCAGTCTCGAGACCGATATTTTCTAATCCAAGACCTGCAGTGTATGGTCGACGTCCAATAGCCACAAGAACGACATCTGCACTCAACTTGTATCGTAAGCGATGGTTTTTGTATTTAGGTTAGAGGATGTTTCTTACAGTCTCTGGTTTACCGCCTTTAGCAGCTTCTACCATAAGCTTAACTTTTTCACCGCTGGCATCTCCACCAATTACTTTGGTATTGAGTTTGAACTCTATGCCCTGCTTCTTGAAGATCTTTTGGACTGATTTGGAGATTTCAGCATCCATACCAGGACCGCCAATCTGGCTCAAATATTCAACAACGCTGACTTTTGCACCTAATCGCGACCAAACTGAGCCCATCTCAAGGCCGATTATTCCACCGCCGATAACAACCATACTTTCGGGAACCTTGCTTAACGCGATAGCACCTGTACTGGTTATGATGCGCTTTTCGTCGACCTCGAGTCCTGGAAATGGGGTGGCCTCACTTCCGGTAGCGATTAAAATATTTTTTCCGAATATGGTTTTTTCACCGCCATCAGTTAGGTCCACTTTGATTTCATGTTGGCCGGCAAAGGCAGCGGACCCCTTGATATATTCGACATTGTTTTTCTTAAAGAGAAATTCGACACCTTTAGTGAGGCCAGCCACTGCAGTATCTTTGGACTTCATCATTTGTGCTAGATTTAGCTTAACATCGCTGACCTCTATCCCACGTGCTTTCGTATCATGGAGGATCTGATGATAAAGATGCGAGTTGTTTAAAAGAGCCTTCGATGGAATGCATCCTACGTTTAAGCAGGTTCCACCTAAAGTGCCACGTTTCTCAATGCAGGTGACCTGATTGTTGTTAGTACGTTTTTTCTAGAGTATTGCTATGTTCTGGGAGTCTCCAGATAATTGGTTTGATACCTTGAGTCCTTCCTGACCAGCCTTGATAGCAGCAACGTATCCCGCGACACCGCCTCCAATTATGACTAAATCTTTTTCCTCTGGTCATATTGTCAGCAATTAGAGTCTAATGGCCTCAAGTGGCTTTTAATTTCTGACCTGCATGACTAGCAAATCCCCTAGTTGAGTTGATATATACTGATGGAGGCGTGGTTATTATTGAAAGACTATAACGGTTTTTTTGTTGGTATGAACACTTGTAGCTAACAGGAATAACTCACGTTGATGATCTCTTGAGAATAGACCGGGTAGTTACCCTTGACATTAGAGAAATTCGAAACATTCTGTTCATCAATTCTCCTTGCCAAATTGTGCGAGTAAGAAGTTGGTGGCGGAGGAATCGATAAGGATTTGATGCACGTAAAGACTATCGGAGTTCCACACGGGTTGGATTCTGCCTTGATGCAACTAAGCTAGGCGTTACCGGCCTAATGAAGCGGCATGGTCAGGAACCAACATGTTGGCTAGCGAGGCTAGACCTCGCACTATATCCCTGTCCATTGTAGGTCAGAAACATTAGTGCGCATCTGGTCTTCAACACGCCAACCTCAGGGAGAACTATTTTCAACACCATTCAGTGGTGTCCCCTACGAACCTACTGATCTCACTGTAGACTCTGCAGAGCCGAGATTGAGTAACACCTTATCAACTTTGAGCTGAGTTATCTCCCCCTCTGTCAAAGATACGCTTCCGATAACACACAAGACGATGATGATGATGATGATGATGCTGGAAATAAGGAAAGATACTGCGGTACCAAACGCTACAACGGTAGTCAGAGAAGCCCTCGTTATATTACAACATGTGCTACCCACCGGCGTTCAAACAAAAAGCCCACGAAAGCAAAGTAAAAGACCCTTCCGCCCTCAAGAAAAGCAGATTTTGACTCTTCAAAAACACCGTTCCTACTAATCTATACCTCCCAATCTGCTAGCCAGGAGGGCATCTGAAATACATGAGTTACTCGATAACCTCATGCCCGTAACGACTTTTGGATGCTAGGCTAGGCTCCTTCACGACAGTCACTCTCGACCAAGACTTTTCTGACATCCTTTCACGACCTTCGGTTTGTCCTGCGGCATGAATCAGGGAAAGAGGAAGGAGGCCGGAAAGATTAAGAGACGCTCTTAGGTATACACAGGTCTGCTGCGCTCGGCTGGCCGGCCTCTTCGTCATAGGAGAGCCCCGCACCCAGTGGTTTTTGAGACTTTTCCCTGCAGCTACACACCCGCAAATGGCCATCGTTTCGTTGGCTGGAGAGAGTATAAAATGACGCGATAACGGCTCCTTTTATTGTGTACTCGAACGAAGACCTGTGGGGGTATTACTGCTGGAAAGAATTCGTGAGGGAGGCAAAGGAGGGAGTACAATACCCTAGGCAAAGATACTCCCGGCCTGTAGGCAGAGAGGACCTACATGTGCTTACACAGCTATAGACTTTTTAGGACAATAAACACTCACTCACTCACGCCAACCTCATGTGCTACTCCTAGGATAGCTATGAGTAAGTTGAGATACCCTCATTATTACAACAGTTTTCAGAATAAGAAACAAGCGCTCTATGGACTAAGACGAAACAGACGGAGTTACAATACTACGTTCACTGGCTGTATTCCCCATGATTATCTGTCTCTTGTTTGAGGGCTTCCAGAGCCAATATCAAGCCGCGTATTTTCTAGTATGAATTAAGTTAATTCAGACTTCGAAATAAACTTGGAAACATCCAATCATGATTACAATAATGGCAACATATTGTAATTGAAACGCGTCCAATATTAGAAATTAAATTCTAGGAATGTATGGTGTAAATACCTTCAAACTTTATCTAGGAAGTGTACTTATATCAACATAGGCTTGGGCTTGGACACAGATGTTGGATATTGCATGTGTGAGCTTTTCTAGTTCATATTGAGATAGACCGGCATCTGGCACGCCATGGGTCTATGCAGGTGACTATCTCCACTATTTACAAAGGAGGAAAGCAATTTGGTGAAAACCCCCTGATCCTGTCTGTTTAGATTCCTATAAATTTATTTATTTTGCCTTCAGGAAGTGCAGTGTACATTGCTCAGCCAGTGTGGGTTCCGTCCTCTCCCCTTCCAGATCGTTTTATTATATCCAAAATTGCTACCTCGACTTCCCCTGCAAGTCGAAACTGTTTTATCCACCCTTCGCTTAGTATCCGCTATATGATTCTAGTCACATCTTCTGGGCTGCTAATCATTGCTTTAAACGACCTGTCTATAGCTTGTCAGGGAAAGTGGCCTCTTCCACTGCGTACACACCAACACCATGTGCTTGACGCTTTGTGACGGATATCCACATTGACAGTTTGGGGGTTCTACTCCGGGTGCTTTTCTTCTACACATATAAGAATTGAGCCGGATTTGCTCGCTTCTTAGCTGAGTGGCGACACTGATTTGGGCCCTGGTTAGGATGCAGTGGATTTTGAAAGGTGAACTTCTGAAGTTCATTTTTGTACTGCCTATTTTTTCATTGGTAGATAGATTTGTAGCTTTCCAATTTTCTGTATCGGCTAGTACTAGTCGGCCAGGGCGCTATTTGCTATTCTGGTTAGTCCATGAATTCACGCATTTCTGAGACCACTACCTTTCTCTCCGTGTAGTTTATTCATTGGTTTATGTCGTGCCCAAGGAAACAAAGGCTCAACACTTGTCAGCGACGTTCTACACGAACCTCTGGGGGGCTAATCTCAACACCTGTCAGCGGTGTCCCCTACGAACCTCCAGCCTTCTCTGTAGAGTTTGCAGAGCCGAGATTGAGTAACAAAGTCCTCACTTCGAAGAGGATTCCCAATCGCTTTCGCGGTCTGTATCGTTTTCATCTCTCAACACATCCCACTGTCACCATTATCATGAAGCTAACCACGATCAGATCAGATGGTAGGGTCGGAGGCCTACTCATCACCAAACCTTGATCACGGAGGAAAAGCCATCCGATGAGTTTCCGGAGCGTACCCAGCACCCGATACGGAGATGGTGGATTGGATCAAGTCGGCCTCGACTGTTACAAAGAAGGGAGACATAGATGAATATGCGCACCTCATGTGGTTCCGGTGTCTAGGCCTCGCCTGGCTGGGGCTGCAGGTTTTTTGAGACTTTTTCCCGCGCACGCAGTTTCCATTGCTACCATTTTTATTTTTTTTGTGTAGAAGGTTCCATGGAAATAGTGACTGAACTCCACGCGTAAATATCGAGCTGAATGGCTATCCATCACGGGTAATATATCAGAGATCTTACAAGTAACAAAAGAGGATAGGAGCACTGTACAAGGTGTGGCCTGGGTCAGAGAGGAGCTCAACGTGCAAGAATTTCATAGACTCTAGTTGTACAACAAGCACATCTCTCTATCTCAGCTGACTCATGTCCTGTACAAATCGTAGGATTTTTAATGATGGTAAATGGTCGGGTAGTCCTTTAGGACTGAGTTGGCCAGCAAGTAAATATGATTAGCCGGCTGTCACATATTACAATGTTCAATAGAAAGAGAAATTTAACTAAATATCCAATTTTAATGTATATGATGCATAGAGAAATTAGTAAAGAGTTTTACTCCAAATATAATTATACCGGTTTAGGCTTTGATATCCACCAATTTGCCATAAGTAGTTTGTCGCCATGATTCTTTCAAAGAGGAGCCTACGTCGGTCGCCAATAATTATCTGGCAAACTTTCTCTGGGCACTGAAAGGAATGTGAGATACATTATCTAGATTCTGGAGTTAAATCAAAAGAAGATCAGGGTGTAGCAGCTTACCCCAATTAGCTCTCGCATCTTCGAACACTACTAATGCAGATCGCTTATGAAAAGTCATGGGATTGGTGAAAGGCGATTACATGGAGTCTCTACGACCCCTCATGAATACTTGTCGGGTATAGCTCGCAAGATTCGCGATTCTATAGACATCGACGCAAATCTTGACACAATAATTTGTTCATATTTACAATAAAAGTCTAAAATTTTATTAGTAAATCTTGCTCTTTATCTCTAGAAATCAATCGAATTCTGGTTTACAATATTTCCGGCATAAAGTCTCCAATTAATTGAAATTAAAAATTATTGAAGATAGAAGTGTTTCTATCCTTCAATGAATTATTAAAAATTCTGGATTTTCTTTTCAATTTCTAGTTGCTTTGGCTAATTTTCTCAACTAATCATACCAACGATGTCGCCAACTACTCCATTATGTCCAAACCTTCCTAAAGGTTTTTCTGATTCTTGCCTAACTCTCATCAGTCAAGGAGCCGAGGCTTTTCTACTCAAAACTACTTTCCTTACCCCTAATATTCCGGCCGCATTAAAGTTTCGCCCATCCAAAGTCTACCGACATCCAACACTTGATGCTCGTCTCAAAAAGCATCGCATACTTTCCGAGGCACGTATTCTTACAAAGTGTCGAACTCTAGGTGTCCCTGTACCAACAGTTTACGCACTCGACGAAAAGGATGGCTGGTTGATGATGGAGTGGGTTGAGGGTAAAATTGTACGGACTTGCATCAATGAATGGTTATCAGAACACATGGAGACCGACCTGACTGAACTCCAAAGTTGTGGCGAAGGTCTTCAAAAATTCCTACGTAAAATAGGAAATATAATAGGAAAGATGCATTTTATCGGTGTTGTACATGGAGACTTAACTACCAGCAATATAATGCTGAATCCTAAAAGTATTGAGGATAATGATAGTCGTGGAGACGAAAGATTAGAAGGAAGCATAATGTTGATAGATTTCGGTCTGGCGAGCCAAAGTTTACAAGACGAAGATCGGGCTGTAGATTTGTACGTCCTCGAAAGAGCCTTTGGAAGCACCCATCCACGCATTCAGCATCTCTTTGAGGAAGTAATAAAGAGTTATGGAACTAGCTACAAAGGAGCCGGAGTTGTTCTTAAGAAATTGGAAGACGTGCGAATGCGTGGTAGGAAAAAGAATATGATAGGATGAAGAAGACATAGGAGCCTACCACTAACACAAGATAAAACTAGGGCTGGCTCAATCCTTATCGTCTTCATTCTTTATGTTAAAACTAAGTCTAATTGTCAAAGCTCGCAAACTATACCTCTATCAAAACCAAAGATTCGAATTCAGGGAATTTTAAAGGTTCACGTCGTGAGAAAATGGGCAATCAAATGTTAGGCGGTTCTATATAGACAGAAACGGAAAGTACCTATCGATTTACTTTTTTAATTCTTTTTGCGGATGAATCCTGAACAAATGTTCACGGTATCCTCAATAAACCCAGGATTAAAATATTCTGCCGGAAAAATGCCTAGTTGAATGCAATACAAAAGAGGTTGCCCCACAAGGCAATGATCCATGACCCCACCAAATTAAATAATCACTCACAAAAAATTATTTCCGAACAAAGCCTCATGTTACGGCGTACTCTAATGATACCGGATATAGCGAGACCCTTAGTATCCATTGGTAAACATCAAACAAAATAATTTTCAAATTACAATTAAGTTATAAAGTTATTTATATATATCTAGCAGCCCCTCATAGTCGTAGTCTTAGTAGGGACTTGATATTAATTTTATTATAATGATACCGGAAATCGCCGTCTACCGAAGGTAATATAGTAATATCTGATGATTATAAATACTAACGAAAGATAGTTGGAACAGACTGGTCAAGAAGTCGAGTTTCAGAACAAGTGATGTAGTCTGATAAATTAAGATCAAATCAAGGACGAAGAATGTATTCATTAGTAAGAGACAGAGAATATCGGACTATGAGGATACAAGGTTATCATATCATATGATTTCTAGAATTCGAGATTAAAGATTGAGAGCTTCTTTGTGGCAGCACCAGCATAATTAAGCATAAATAAAGATTGTGCCATAAATCAACTCAGGCTAGCACAAGATCTAGCCCTGAATCTAACCCTGATCTCAACATGATAGATTCAAGCTGGTGCATAAACTTAGATCATAATTTAACTGTAACTGTTATAGGTTTGTCGAGAACCTTTCACTTAGAACTCTTGAACTTCCCGCTCAAGCCCCGATACTAGAATGTCTCAATATGATATCTTATTAAGTCTACAAGTACGATCTAGTACATCCCAACTTCTAATACCACACCTCTCGTCAACTTAATCTCTGGTCTGAGCTGCCCACCTGATACGCGTCCACGACAACAAGAATAATAAAAGGAAGAGCAAAATTAACGAATCTAGGAGGCAAATCTTTGAGATGTAGGTGAAAGATATCAAGTCGGATGGGCGATAAGATACTAGAGATGAACAAAATCCTTGTTAATAGAAAGTTCCGATTTCTGGAAATAGGGTTCTAACACTGGGCATCTTGCAATACACGACCTTGTTTGTAGGTGCATGAAAGATTATTAAAGCCACCACTGCCTGTGTAATTTTGTTGGTTGTACAACTTGAGCCTCTAACATTCTCGCACGTTGGACTCCTTTCTGACCCAGGCCACACCTTGTACAATACTCTTATCCTATTTTATTGCTCGAAGCATCTCTGTTACATTACCCGTGATGAATAGCCATTCAGCTCGGTATTTGCGCGTGGAGTTCAGTCACTATTCCACGAAACCTTCTACCCAAAAAAAAATTGTAGCAATGGAAACTACGTGCTGAGGTTCCTGATGGATTAGTATGTGTGAAAATTGAGATAAGCTTAGCTTTACGATGGCGTAGGTTACGAGTGTGTCGTGGCTCCAAACTACAAATATGTATAGCAGAGCTTAAGACTAGATGTAACTTGATTTTCTATTAATACTGGGTATCATCTATATGAGTACAGTATTCCTTATCTTGCGCCCGGACTCCAACGTGAACAACATTACATAAGCATTACAATTTATTAGAGCCTGGTACTAATCTAGAGGTCCGTCAATCTTAGATCCTCAGTGCGCAGGTAAAGTCTCAAAAAACCTGCAGCCCCAGCCAGGCGAGGCCTAGACACCGAGACCACATGAGGTGCGCATATCCATACATATCTTCCTTTTTTGTAATATTATAGGCCGACTTGATCCAATCCGCCATCTCTGTATCGGGTGCTGGGTACGCCTCAGAAACTCATCGGATGGCTTCTGCTCCATGATCAAGGTTTGGTGATGAAAAGGGCTTCGACCCTAGCATCTGATATAATTGTGGTTAGTTTCATGATAATGGTGATATGGGGATGTGGTTAGCGATGAATACGATACAGACCGCGAAAGAGATTAGGAATCCCCATCGAAGTGAAGACTTTTTGCTCAATCTCGGCTCTGCAGGCTCTACAGTGAGAGCTGGAGATTCGTGGGAGACACCACTGACAAGTGTTGAAAAAAGTCCCCCTACACGTTTGGAAAATCAGTGAGATACGCTCTTCTGAGTCTCGCAACGATAATAATTTGATGTGTAACCAAATATTATGTGTATACAAATTTATCAGCCACGTATCTTATTTCATCTAATCCGATGCGGCGTCCAATGCGCCAGCTTAGAGAACCCGATGTGAGTCGCCGAAGCGTAAGTTCTTTTCAGGTTTATCTACCATAATAGCTTTGCCTTATCCCAGCGTATACTACCCAGTCCAAGAATATGTTTTTCGTTTGAGTCATTATCCATTAACCAGTCAAGTTTTCTCCGTTTTGCTCCTCATATTTTCCTACATTTAAGCATTTTTTTATTCATCTGACAACCTTGCCACATTAGGAACCTGAAAAATCTCCATATCTCCGGCCTTACCCCGTCGCTACCTTGCCTCTAAGTATTGCAACCACATATCTGAATAAGAGCTCAAGGTGGAAGCATTGATACCCGGCCTCTGTCAAATTATTTTGTTGATATGCCAGGGAAAACTTGTAGCGATCTTAGCGACGGCGCTCCGTCGTAATTCGAGTTGTTTGAGCCCTTGGCCGAGGTTTAAACGCATTTAAGGACGGTACTTTGATCATAGTTTGACCGAAAGTAGCCGTTGTGGAACCCTCTTTCATCTTTGATTATGAGTCTGACTCCTTTATTTTTGATTACTTTGGTATGTGGGAAGAGGATTATAAAGAGGGTCTTTATATGGTTGTTATTGAGAAGATCTTTTGGTAAAAATCGAGATGATAAAAGTTACTAGTTGACTTTATACAAAAATCAGAAGTATTGGAAGCTGTCTAGGGCTCATGCTTGGAGCGAATATTATAGTTTCCCTGGACTGAGAAGTCGTAAAATACTTGTAGGTAGGGGTTTTAATAATAACAAGCAAACATGCCCCCTCCTGAATGCGATCTGGACAAGGACTTTCAATTCACCTTTTATCATAATTGAATCTTGGCTTTGAAGGGGTATCTCATTCCCGGTCCGTAGAGGACATGGTAGACAAGTATTCTACCATAATCCTTTGAGATGTGGGATTATTGAAATGAGAATGTACAATTCCGTAAATACAGACTTAGTGTGGCTTTTTTTGCAATCTGTCTCGAAATTAAATGAACGTTATTGGAGGCTGAGCAGCCAACTTCTTATTGCTGAGCTCTATCGAAGTCTCAGTCCTGGAAGGGTATTTGACCCCCAGGCTCGTGTAGGACACCGGTGATAGATTCCCAGATTCCTCCATCGGTTGCGGCTATATTGAAAAAAGGGTCCCATGTTACCATCGTTTAAATTCCTATGCTGTAGGATGAGTTTAATCACAGACATGCGCAGAGAGATCAAGGAATGGTTGTAGCAAGGTGAAGTTGTCCTTATATCCTTGCCTGGAAATTCTATCATCATGCTTTGGGATGAAGCCATTGCACTTGCACCTGTAGAATTAGCTTGAAGTGGAATCATCACATTGAAGTGCAAGGAAATTCAGGCACATGATCGAGTATGCGCTGGTGATACGAATATCTTTGAAATTTATATTGTTATTATTGTCTTTTTCAGTCTAAAGTGTATAGGACGAGAAGACACTCTCGGCATAAATCTGCAGTTTGTGCTTGCGGCGAGACGACGAGTTTTGTTGCTTGAAAGTTATTTTCCCGCTAAATATGGTGTCAGGCGCAGGTTCACTAGGCGCAAGACTCGAGGCGTAGGAGAGGGCGTAGCGTACGATGTACTGAGGAAGGACGCCTCGTGGGAACGCGGAGGGCTTTCTAGAGAAGTGGTGAATGGGAAAGCGGGGAGTCGTTCTAGATAGAGGGGCCGGAGGTGACGGTAGGTCACTATGGTTGGCAGAGGACGAGAGTGAGATGTGATTAGAATAATGTAACTATTCCTAAAAACAGGAAACAAAGCGTGAAGATCTCAGTATCCAAAGTGAAAACTACATAACTATCCTTGCTAGGCAATAAGCCTAGTGGTACAGAGTGCAGCTGACACTATAAAAACAAGCCAACGATGGAAGGTGTAGTGGTCCACCTCCTGGTGGTGTTCTCTGGTATAGTCTGAGTATTCTAGGCACCTATTACACTTGGGAAGGGAACACCCAAGACCACATTTCGCGCGGAGAAAAGTTGAAAGATGATGGAGGCATGTCTGGATAACCCAGGGTTTTTGAGACGTTCCCCTGCGTGGGTATTCACGGATGAGGGTTGACTTGGGGGAAGAAAAAGCCGCCATAACCTCGCAGTGGTACTTGCAAATGAAATCTGAGGAATGGGTGCTCCTCTTGTAAATTGAGTCATCTTTTCTGTACTTTTCTTTGATATTGTGTCATAGCTAGATAGCTGCATACGCAATTAAAATCTAATGCAGAAAAAAAAAACAAAAAAAACCTAGTGGTGCTAGACAAGGAACCCATAAATCCTGACAGAGGCATTTCTCCAGAATCCTTACATATGGCCATATATCCTTACAGGCCTGTAAGTAGGAACCTCACAGAACAGTGAACAAGTATACACACGAGACGTGTAGGTCCTCTGTACTTGTAGACCAAGAAGACATGTGCGTTAAGTATATCCCCTTTTTTGTAGTTCCTATCAAATATTACCACCCTTCTTATGTCCTCATTCAATCACATA